AGGCAGCAACCGGGGTCCAGACCCGGCGTCAACGCTACATAAGCGCTGACTTCCTGGCTTTGACATTCATTCTGTCTTGCGTTGATGCTGACTTCACGCGTTGACTTCAACGCTGGCTCGGCGCTACGATGCTGGCTCGACGCTGTGACGCTGGCATTGTGACTTGGCAAGGCGCTGCTAGTCCGGCATGGTGGCCGGCTTGCTCCTGTCTTTTTGGCATGCTGACGTGGCAGGTGCCATGCACTGTCGCTGATGTGGCTGCTGCCACGTGTATCATTGGTTGACATGGCTGCTACCACATGTTCTATGGCTGGGACTACATGATCGGCATTGCTGTTCTGTTCATCGTCACTTCAGGAGGAGATCAGGACTGTGGAGAGTTTGTGGATACGTACCTGGTTGTCTTCATGTCGACATTGCTCCAGTGCTGATGTGGGACTGATTAGACGTGCCACGTGGCACATTGAGGCTATTTTGGATACTCATTCAGACTATTGATTATTGAGGTGGTAGTGAGGAGGGAGCCCGAAGCAGGAGTGGGCATTGTACTTCCTCTCCTTTGTCTCATCTCCCTCCTCTCTCGTCGTCTGTGTATGATTACCTCGTCTCATTCTGTCTGGTACGATTTTGACTATTAGTAATCATCAGCTGATGGACATTTATTTGGGCTTGCATTGTTGACAACTGTCTTCACGATCTGGGTTCATTGCAATTTGGTATCGGAGCAGTTCTCCTAACGACGATATTTGTACATTGAGTACGCGCCAGGTGGCGCGCAGGTAAGTAAGGCCGGGTAGGTGATGACGTGGCAAGGGATACGCTGGGGGTGTTGACGTGGCACATACCTCTCTGGCGAGGATACACTGCCGGGGTTTGTTGACGAAGTGCAGATTCACTGGCGAGAAGACATGACGGGGGAAGCTGACAAGGTACAAACTCTGCCGGCGAGAAGACATTCCAGGCTGCTGACGTGGCAGTCGGGATCGCGACAAAGGATACCGCACGCCAGGCAGGATCGCGACAGTGACGAGGAATCGCGATCCCTTGCTGACGTGGCACATATCGTGCTGCGTCTGAAGACCCTGTTGATTGCTGATGTGGCACTCCTTGTGTTGCTGACATGCGACAGGGTCTACTGCAGATGCTGACGTGGCCTGGAGGAAAGAAGATTGATTGCTGACGTGGCAGGAGCAGGTCATCACACCTATCTTCATGAGGTGGTATCTGCCTGCTGACGTGGCATTGAACTCCTCGGCTGACGTGGCATGATCTGACTGGTTGGAACGGCGACGGTATCTCACGTGACGCTTGGAAGAGGCACGTGGCGAGGATAAGACTACAGATTTGCTGACGTGGAATCCCATTATTGACAGACTGGACAGAGTGTTGACGTGGCAACATTTGCTATGTTGGCACTCCAGGGATGACACGTGGCAGGCAGGATACTGCCAAGTAAGAGGTGCACTCTAAAGACGACGGCGGTACAGCTGACTGGACAGATTACATAGCTGTAGTGCCAGCTGTCAGGGGGAGTGCGTGATCGCACTGACATCAAGAAGACACAGCAAACTGATGAAGATTGTTGACAAACTGTTTTGTGATTGTTGTCGGCATACTTACCTGTTGTTGCTGTGTGTGGTGTTCACGTACTTACTTGTGTGTTGTGTCTGATCACACGGGCCTGAAGTGGTACGTGTACACTCTTGTTTAGGACGTCATCACACGGACAAACAAAGAACAACAAGAGTTAGAAATAGAAATAATTGTATCTGATTCTTTTCTTCGGTTCTTTGAAATCTTGTTGTGTTAGATCAGGGCGGCCGTGGAATTTATTATTGTTAATTAAGTATTTATTGTGCGGCAGACGCACGTCTCTATGTCTTTTCTCTGAAATTCTCTGAAATTGTCAGTGCTCACACGTTTTATTCCACTTCTCTTCTACCCAGTCTCACTCATGTTTGTTGTTGATGAGGAGACTCCTGACCCCCGAACGAAGCAGCAAGTGAAAGAGAGGAAAAAAGTATTGATTGCCCGTTTGGACAAACTGATTTCTGAACTGCATGATGCCGGTGAAGATGTTGAGGCTCACGTCCGGAGCCTGTTCGATTTAAAAGCATTGCATAATGCTATTGAATTGGTTGTGACAGGCACCGACGTCATTCATATTCAGGATATACTAATCAAGTGTCGTCAGGCACTTGATAAGTATATCATGGATCAGTTCTCCGAGCTTGCTGCACGGAAAGAAGAAGGAGAAAGGGTTGTGTCTGAAGAAACCGTGGGTGAAAATATCAGACAACTTGAAGAAGCACTAGAGAGAGAGAAGAAGAGAAAAAAAGAATTGAGAAAGAAAAAGAGTGAACAGCAAGAACAAAAAATTCAAGAAATTAGACAAACTGTTGTAAAGACCGAAGGGGAAGAACATGAGATTTCTTTGGCTCAGCTTGTGAATTACCTTGCCCACCTGTAAATGAAAATCGGATGCAGTCACAAATCGATGATGTGGCCGCAGGACTCCGGATAATCACGAATCTGGTCAAGGGGAAGGAAAAGGTCAAGGAAGAAAAGACCGAAAAGCCAGAGAAACTAATGGGAGATGCCATGAAGTCTCTTACTGTAGAGACTAAAAAACCGGAAGAGAAGAAACCGGTAGAGAAGAAAGGAGAACCTTCGAGTCCGCCGAAGTCTCCAAATGAAACAAAGGACCACACCACACAACCGGAGAAACCCAAGAGAAAGGAGAAGGTGAACATGAAATTGCCTTTCACATTCTGCAACAAGAAAGATGAAAACTTATTCTTGTGGATTGCCGAGATTCAAACATATTGTAGTATGGCCCCTGTTGAACGCGATTCCCAGGTCGCTTTCTCTACTTCTTGTCTCGGAGGGGAAGCTAAGGAATGGGTGTTGGCCGAAGCTAATGCGGCAGGGTTCGATGACATTGGGGAGTGGGTTGAAACCTTGAACCTCAAGCAGTTCCTTGGTAAGATCAAGGAACGGTTTTTGGACAAAACGACGGCCGACAAGGCCTTTGACCAGCTCACCACAATTGGTCAGAAACACTGGACCTCTGTGGAATCACTGTCTCAGGAAGTTGATCGGTTGCTGCAGGTTCCGAGATTGAACCTAGTCTTGTACATCTATTCCCGTGCTCTGCCCGAGCCCATCCGTGGACAACTCGTGGTAGAATCCAAGTTAGGTAAGTATAACTATAGGCAGTTTCGGGATCTGGCTCTCCAACGAGAGCAAATGACTTCTCAGGTTAAGAATTCTTATGCGTCTGTTGTGAAATATGGTGGTGGTGCAGGTAAAGGTAAGCAGATACTTTGGCGCCAAAAGCGTCAGGACCACACCCTTGTCGTCTTTGATGACGATACCGTGGAGAAGTGGCCATTGGAAGCCGAGGGTGTGGCGAGCAGCAGTGATTCCGGGAAGGGGGAAGTCACTGCTGCCGTGGTCAACAGGGGAGGACCACGACCGCCAGTCAAGAAGAAGAGGCCACACTCGTTCCCAAAACGTCTCGGGATTGCGACCGGGAAGCCTTGGGAAAAGATGGGCCTATCACAGGAAACGTGGCAGGAAAGAATGGATAACGCACAGTGTTTGAAGTGTGGTACCGCAGGGCATGTGATTGCATGGTGCCCACTTATCCGTAACCCAAAAGCGAGCCGCGAGTAGGAGTAGCATCTGCTCCTACTGAGTCTAAGGGTTTGGACCAAGATGAAGGTAAGGCGCCTACTAACCCTTCCAACCCTTTGACTCGCATGGCAGAGGATGGTTCTTCTTCGGCCCATCGTCCGAAACACCCTGAACTTGTCTTATGTACTGTCTCTCTGGACGACTCTCTTGACGAGCTTGGTAACGAGTTGCTGGCACTACGAAGCTCGTGGGCTAAGAAATCTAAGTCTAAGGGTGACCTACTACTCGCGGATGTAGAGATTGCACGTACACGTGTAGGTGCACTGTTGGACTTGGGATCCACGCGATCCTACATATCCGAGAAAGCAATCCGCAAATTGCATCTCGGAACGAAGGTGAAAAACCTGTCTAGACCTATCACGTCTATTTTGGCTGACAAAAGCACGATCACTGTCTCGCAGTATGTTGATTGTGTGAAATGTCGATTTCGAACCAAGGAAGGGAAGATAATTTTTCACGAGGTATCCTTCCTGGTAGAAAAGGACTTGCCATTTGACTTGATTCTGGGAATGGATTGGCATGAAGAAGCCAACCCAGACATTAAGTTCAAAGAAAAGATTGTGCAATTGCGTGACGCACAATCTGATTTGAAACCAATCAAATTTTTTCATAAGTCTGGCTCTGACTCTAGTCTGTCTTTTTGTTGTATGAGTTATCCAACCTTTCGTTCAATGGTTTCAAAGAAGAAGTTGGAACAGGAAGTAATGATGGTTTTAGTAAAAAGAGCAGGAGAGTCTTCTACTTCCTATCCTTCTTCGACTGAAAAACTCCTAAACGAATATGAAGAATTATTCACTGAACCCACAAGAATAACTGAGCGTGCAATTAAGCACACCATTGAAATTATTCCTGGAAGTAAGATTCCCAAGGGCCCTATCCACCGAATGTCCGCTAGGGGACTTGAGGAGTTGAGGAAACAACTGCAATACTTAACAGAAAAAGGATGGGTTCACCCTAACTCCTCTCCTTATGGTGCTCCTGTTTTGTTTGTACCTCAGAAGGAAGGTGAGTTACGTCTCTGTATAGACTACAGAGAGTTGAATGTCGTCACTGTTAAGAATGTTGAACCACTTCCTCGCATTGACAACTTACTTAACCAGTTACAGGGTTGCAGGTACTTTAGCAAGATTGACCTGAAATCTGGGTATCACCAGATCGAGGTGGAACCCTCCAATCAGCATAAGACCTTTTTTCGAACCAGGTATGGCCACTACGAGTTCGTGGTAATGCCCTTCGGATTAACGAATGCCCCTGCCTCTTTTCAGAGGTCAATGAATGACTTGTTTTGTCAATGGCTGGATAAGTTTGTCATTGTCTATCTCAATGATATTCTAGTGTATAGCAAAACACTAGAAGATCATGAGAAGCACCTTCGTCTGGTGCTAGAGAAGTTGCGAGAGGGCAGCTTCAAGATCAATGCCAAGAAGTTTGAGTTTGCTAAGTCCGAAGTGTTATACCTAGGACACATAGTAAACGAAGACGGTCTAAGGGCAGAAGAGAAAAAAAATATCAGCAATTAGAGATTGGCCACAACCAAAGTCAATTACTGAATTGCGATCTTTCCTTGGTCTAGCTAGTTATTATAGGAAGTTTGTCAGAAACTTCTCCCTGATTGTTGCACTTGTTAAAGAAAGAAACAATTTGGTTGTGGGACAAGGATTGTGAGTCTTCCTTTAGGAAATTGAAGTATGCCCTGACTCACTACCCCGTCCTTAAGATTGTTGACCCGTCTTTACCTTTCATTGTCACTACTGATGCAAGTCAGTATGGAATTGGCGTTGTTCTCCAGCAGGATGATAGCAAGGGCTACAGGCCCATAGAATTTATGTCTGCACGACTGCCGTCGGAAAAAGTGGTCAACTCCACCTATGAAAGGGAGCTATATGCCTTAGTGTATGCACTAAACACATGGAAACACTACTTATTAGGGAGACACTTTACTGTGTACTCAGACCACTCTACTCTGAAGTGGATAAGACACAGCCTAGGCTCTCTGATAAGCTGGTACAAAGGTTCGCGTTTATTGATACCTTCGATTTTGAATTGAAAACGATCAAAGGTAAGTCTAATGTGGTTGTAGATGCATTGTTCAGACGGAGTGATGTCTTTGGTGCAATTGTCTCTTAGTTGGATGTTGGGAATGATCTGAAAGACCAGATTCGACAAGGATATGCTACTGATCCTATCTGGAAACCAATCATGGATATCTTTGTACGAGATCCGTTCCAACTACCCAACTATAGACTGACTGATGGGTTGTTGTTCTTGATTGACCAAACCGAACAGAGACTGTATTCCTCATAAGGAAGAGATTAGAAGTCTGTTGATTGGGGAATGTCACGATTCGGAGGGTCATTTTGGTTTCAAGAAAACATATGCTGAAGTCAGAGAACGTTTCGAATGGAAGGGACTTAAAGAAGATGTACTAACATATGTTCGTACCTGTTTAGTGTGTCAGAGAAACAAGCCGTCGCATGAGAATCCCCTTGGACTTCTCAAGCCATTACCTATACCAAGTGAACCAGGTGAGTCTATCTCAATTGACTTCATGAGTTTGGTTAAAAGTCGCAATGGTAATAGTCAAGTGATGGTAATTGTAGACCGTTTCTCTAAATACGCTATGTTTGTTCCCTTGCCAACAGAAGCGCGTACTGAACTTGTCATTCAAAAAATTCAGATGCGATGGGTCACTGAATATGGGTTCCCTAAAACCATTGTGTCTGATCAAGATGTCAGGTTCACCAGTCGGCCATGGCAAAAGCTAATGGAAGCTTATGGCACACGACTGACCATGTCGTCAGGGAGGCATCCCGAAGCGAATGGCCAGACTGAACAAATGAACCGTCTGTGCCAGCAACTTCTGCGTACGTATATTAGACCCGATCAGATTGATTGGGACGAGAACTTACCTAAAATTGTGAGTGCATATAACAATAGTGTCCACACTTCTACTCGACGAACCCCAAATGCACTTCTCAAAGGGTGGAAGCCTAAACGTCCCATTGATGTACTAAATCGGGACCAGTTCCTTAGGTTGCCCCCAGGGACCCGATAATATGCAATTTTGTTTCAGGAGGACATTCATAAAGTTAAAGATAATATAAGGAAAGCTCAACTACGGATGATTGAACAAGCCAACAAGCACCGTCGACCGTCTACATTCAAAGAGGGTGATTTGGTTTGGGTAAAATCTAAAGAGTTTTCACTAGAAAAAGATGTGTCCCAAAAATTGCTACCTGTCTATTTTGGACCCTGGGAAGTTCTCAAGGTAATTGGAGATGTAGAGAGACCGTCTTATCGCGTTAATATTCCCCCTCATCTCAAAACATATCATGTCTTTCATGCATCCAAATTGTTGCCTTACGTAGAAGGGGAAACGAGTTTCCATACAGACCCTCTATGATTCCACCAAACATGGATGGCGGATACGAGGTTGACAGGATCATAGAGCATGGTTACTTCTCGACGGGAGGACGTGGACGACCTCAGAAGCAGTTCAAGGTACGTTTTAAAACTCAAGCACCATCTGAGGACAAATGGTTTAGTAAATGAGAACTACTTGAAACTGCTCCTGATATTGTCGCTGCTTATGAACGAGGGTTAAAGTCTTAAATATTTATGCAGCGGAACTAAAAAATGGGCCGGCAGGAATGTAATAACCCTGTTCAGAAGTAGCCTGGGGCCATAACTCAGCCCTAGGCCACGCAGACCTGAGATGGTCTGCGCTGGGCTGTGTGACCAACACACGCCCAGGCCTGAGTCTGTCGTGAATGGCTGTGTGACCGAACACTGCACACAAGAAATTCAAGCGTCAAAGTCAACTGTAGAGTCAAAGGTACCGCACCCAAGCCCTTGGTTGGATACACTCATTTGTTGTGCGCAGGTACCCAGACATCATCCAGGCCAGAGAGAATTCGGTTTCAGACCAATCTGGGCCCTCGTTTGCATTGAGATCTGGACGATTGAGGAAGGCAGCAACCGGGGTCCAGACCCGGCGTCAACGCTACATAAGCGCTGACTTCCTGGCTTTGACATTCATTCTGTCTTGCGTTGATGCTGACTTC